ATTTACCGATGCATATTGATTCTATTTTCTTAGAAATTATGGATCTTATTTTCTATTCAAATGTGGGCTATTGTTAAGTTTGAATAGAAAATGTGGGGTATTGTTGGAGTTTATAAACATACGTTAATTTATGTAAATATGTTAGGAGTTGATTTACATAAATATAATGGAGTTATATTTGCATAAATATACTTCTAATTACATAAACTACAAAAGCACCCCTTGAGTAATGTCGATACCGATTGAGAAACAGCACATGTATATTAGGTTGTGAAAAACACCTATTGAATCAAGCATCGCTTGAATCAATATATATAGCCATCACGACAAAGAGGAAAAGAAAGACTTTATTCAATCTTCTTCTTCTCTAAAAATCAATTTCTAAGAATCTCAAAGTAGGTTTGCTAGGGTCTCTGTAAGGTGTTACTACAGAGATCGATAGTTGTATCCTGCAAGATAGACGCCCATTGAAACTACTTACACCGCGGTAGGGGCAAAATTCTGTTTTAAGAGATTGCGATTCGCAAGCCTCTATCAAACGTATTTTCCGATCATTCAACCATAGAAGAATAAATCATCAAGTGAGTTTTATTTGTTTCAACTGTATTTCGTTTTGGTTATCTATTCATTAAGAAAACATATTTGTATACGAGTGTTTGATCTGTATCTATAATTACAAACAACAATACGTATATATAATTATATTTGCATATAGAAGAATAAACAAATATACTGTATAATTATATTTTAATCGAAATTAGATTACTGTATAATCAAACGATTGAAGCAAAAGAAACTAATGTTCGAAGACACTAGTTCAAAAGAACTAAAGAAGTATAGATTTCCAAAATATTGGCTCCATAATAAGTAGATACAAGATTTGAAAGTAAGAGTTCCAAAATTACTCAAACTCTCATTTGGATAAGCTTAATCGAGCTACCAATGTGACAATGAGCTGGAGTTAGTACTCAAAACTCAAAGATACAACACAGGTACAAAATACGAAAATTAACTAATGGTAATGAAGGAGAAACTCTACATATTCATTATTTATCATTTTTCGTTTTTCTCGGATGTGTGAAACAAGAAAATAAAAAAGCTGCGTAAGTTCCATGTTTTTGAATGTGTTCGAAGGTTGTATTGTAACAATAAAAAATTTCTTGTGGGTTTTTGGGATAATTTTCAACGAGATTAAAGTATTGATTGTGTAAAACTCTTTTTCTAGTTTTTATTACTAAACATGTTCATTCATGAGAAGTGTGAGTTCAACAAAAATTTGAAAAATAATCATTGGCTAAATCCTCCCATAAACTAATAACGAAGTTAACAATTAATTTAGATGCCGTCCAAAAATAATGATATTGGATGTTACATGTAACATTGAGTTATTGAAAAATGATTGATCGCTAACAATTAATAATAAACATATTAGTAGCTAGTAAACAGATTATGAGATTAAAATAAGTTATCGGTGTTCGTGTTTTAAGGGAGAGGATGAGTGATCCAGCACGCAGTTTGTAAATCCTCTCGCAAAGATTCTTCTCTTATTTATCCACATAGCCTACCATTTTCACATTTCATGTTTCAACTACTTGCCGTTTCATTTTCTTTACCAAATGAACTTGTTTTACTTGTAGAACACAAAATGATTGTTTGTTTCACTTCTAGTCATTTTATCCACAAATTTTTTTTTTTTTGGTTTAAATGTTAAGATATCCACATAAATCTTAGTAAATCACATATGATATATCCAACGAAGTTTTGAAAATAAAACACATTAAAACCATTTTTCAAGCGTAACTTCGATTTGAATTCGGATTGGATGTTATTCGATTAAATTAATAGCTTTTGAGTTAGTTTCCTACCATTTTGCAACATTTCCTTTTCTGCTTTCGACAAACTTTTGACACTATTAACGTATGTTTGTAGGAATGTGCTCATTTTAAACTTTTTTATATACTATAATTTATTGGATCTTTTTGGTGAATAATC